GTGTGGGTATGAACAGTCCTCTGGAGCAGGAGTTACAGTCGGCTGTCGGCCCCAGTGTGGGCTTTGTGAACCAAATTCAGGACCTTTGCAAGAGCAGTCAGGCCCTTGATTGCTAAGCCCTCTTTCCAGCCTCTGATTTAGTCTCTGCTAGAAGCATAGTTTGGCATACCCTCGTGGCTTGCTGCGAGCTTGCCTCCGTTTTCTTTTAAACGTTTCTGCTCCTTGAGTGTGGGTGGTTTTCCATTTCTGTAGAAAGCATATAGTTAGGGAATGTTGATGAATGTGTAAATATTTCAGCCTGCAGTTAATTAACCCAACAAGCTTTTTGTTTTGTTTTAATTTCCACACTGCTGATGAGGCAGCTTTTTTTGTGTAGGCATTGGGATAGTAGGCTGTTTTTAGATTTCTGACCTTTTAATGTAGAAACCAGCATAAATCCAGAAGTATAGGAGCTTATGGTACAGGGAAATTGTTGGTGGTTTGGTGCATATGGAGACCAATGTATTCGGGTGCAGTGAAGGCCTGGTCATGGTGGATGCCCACTGTCAACAGCTTTCAGTGATCCTCAACTGTGTGGGTCATGATTTCTTTGGGAGGTCAAACAACCCTTTTACAGGGGTCACCCTGTAAAACCAACACCATCAAAAACCACAGATATTTAAATTATGATTCACAAGGGTAGCCAAGTTACAGACAGGAAGTATCAACAAAAATAATTTTATGTCTGGGGGGGGGGGTCACCACAACATGAGGGACTATATTAAAGGGTCACGGCATTAGGAAGGCTGAAAACCGCTGACTGAAGAGTTTTATTTGGGATAGATAGCCTAACTCCATTAGCGAAAGGATCACTGAAAAGGTCCATAGAGAATAGTACAATTAAAAACAACAGTTTTAAGATAGCTCTGTTGGGAGCATGTGTGCCTAGTGTGAACAAGGCCCAGAGAGGCCTGAGGTTCATCCTCCAGCTCTTCATAAATCTAAGTGCCAGGCATAGCCAGCGCCTGCCTTGAACCCGCTCACTTCTGTATAGAGAGTGTAGCCTGGGCTGCACGAGGCCCTGTTTCAAAACCAGACACAACAACTGAGTGGTAACACTGGCAGCCGAGGCTGGAGGGTCCCGAGTTCTAGGCCATCCTGACACTGCCTAGTACTCTCCTGTCTCCAGAAACAAGAGCAACAGCAGAAACCCCAAACCAAGCACATAAGCAAACAAATGAATAGGAAAATATTAGACCCAGTTTAAAATGAGCAAGAATTAAGGCTTTTCCCTTCCGCAGGTAGGACTAACGCCATCTCTGCGGAGGCCTTGTGCAGGTAGATGAGTACACCCAGAAATTGTAATGGGAAGAAAATGGTGAACTTTCCCCCACCCCTGGAGACGGTGGAGGAGGTGAGAGGTGAGGACAGCAAATAGTCTGTACCATAAACACTGCAGACACCAGACTGCCCCTAGCAGCTGTCTCTCTGTGAACTGAGCTCTCTGTGAGCGGAACTTGCAGGAAACAGCATGTTTTTTTTTTTTTCGGGCAGATTTCCTGCACATGAGAATCCTCATGTCTTCTAGAATTGCTTTTTGTGTGTTGGTCCTAAACATCTTTGAAAGGAAATTTGCTTCAAACTCCCCACCCCGCCCTCCTTTAATGCCCGAGGCTTGATAGTCACTTCAATCCTTTGTTAAGGCACAGATTTACTGTATAGTGAGAGTGAGAATGGAGGACTTGTTTTAGATGTGTTTTTATATACATATAGAGCTTAAGTTTTTAATAGTGTATATATGATACAGATCACATATGCATAGATACTGTATGTATGTATGTATGAATACACACACACAGACACACACACACACTCAAGTCTTTGCAGGTACAGAGGGTTTACAGTGAGAAGCCACTCTCCTGTTCATCTAGCCCGAGAGCCTTTGTCTAGAGACTGCAGCTTTCACCAGATTCTTAACTCTCCAGAAATTACTTACAGCTAAGCAATTGTGTAAAGTATCCACTAAACCCACAAATGCCACATGCTCTGTTTTATACCTGGCCTTTTACCAGCATGGGCAGTTTGTCTTAGAGGTTGTTCCCTAGCAGCCGCAGAGAGCGCTTTCATTCACGCTCAAGAGTGCGTAGCCCTGGTGTCCATTGCGGAACGTGATGTTTCAGTAATTCACAGCATCACGGGAAGTGCAATGATTGTCAGGTTTATTGGTTAATTTAATATTAGTATTATTTATGGTGCTCATTCATGGAGCATGAATATTTAATCATCCCTTCACTGACATTTAAATTACTTTCTGACTTATATGATTTTGGACTCTGCTGGAAAAAATATCATTTATACACCTATATTTGTGGATGAAATAAGATTGGGTTGAAGTATACATATATGTATGTATGCCAGGTATTTAATCTATTTTGATATGTGTACACACATAATACATTATGGAAATAACTATGTCAGGCAAATTAGTCTATGTATCATCTTACATAGTTAGCCTTTGTGTGTGTGGGGGGGGGGGGTGGTAGTGTAAAATACTGAAAACCTTTTCGTATCTCTCCAGTATACAATATTCTTTTAAAAGGGACCACATCAGAAAGCAGCATAGTATACACAAGAGAAAGTCAAGGGAACAAATTACCAAGCTGGAAAGTGGGAGAAAGCCACATACACAAAATGAAAGAAAGTATGTAACAAAGGTGGAGTTCCAAACGGAGAAGAAGATGTGAGGTCAGCAAGTCATCTGAGGAACCCAGGTGTCATCTCAAACAAGCGAAGCTGCCCACTCACCTCACGCCTTCCATTTCTGCAGCACCCTTTATCCGTGTATTCATTATTATTACTGTGTATATATATTGTGTGTGTGTGTGTGTGTGTGTGTGTGTGTGTGTGTGGTTATGTGCAGCTCACAGCACATGGAAAAGCTCATAGCACGTGGGAAAGCCAGAAGGAAAACTTTCCTATGGAGTTGGTTTCCACCTTCTACCTTTACATGGGTTTGAGGATGGGTCCAGATTGCTGGGCCTCCATCAAGGGCCTCTTTACTAGCCGAGCCATCTTACTGAACCCTCATGTTCTTGTAAAATAGTATCTATTGTGTGTATGTGTGCAGGCGCTTGGCAGTCAGGCTGTGACTATGTTTTGGTGGTCAGAGGACAGCCTGCAGGAATCCATTATCTTCTTCTATCAGTGAACTCAGGATTCAGGCTTTATCCACCAAGCCATCTTGCTGGCCCCAATTTTTTTAAAGAATTGTTGTTGTTGTTTTTTCTATCTATGATTGTTTTTGCCTGCATATGTGTATGTAAACTAAGTGTGAACCTGGCACCCCGTGGTGGTCAGGGAGGGTGCCAGATCCCTTGGGACAGGAGTTCTAGATGGTTATGAACTCCATGTGAGTGCTGGGGACTGAACCTGGGCCCTGTGACTGAGCAGCCGGCGCTTTTCATGACTGAGCCATCTCTCCAGCTTCCCCTTTTTTAAACAAATTTATTTTACATGTATTTTTTTATCAGGGAGGTGAGCGCCACGTGTGTGTGGAGGTCAGAGGTAAATTTACAGGAATCAGATCTCTCTGTCAACTGTGTGGGTTCCAGGGATTGAATTCGGGCTGTCGGGCTTGTTGGTGAGTGCCTTTACCTGCTGAGTCATTTCACCACCTTCCCCCCCCCCCCTATACAATATTCCTAACAGGACCTGGAACGCCAAGCTGTACCACCCTTCTCTCCTTCCTAGACTTTCTTTAAATAGCTGCAACGTTGCGTCGTTTGATCTGCGCCTCTGTTTCTCCTTGCCAGCAGTTTAATTAAGATAGAGTCTGCTAGAATGTCACCAGTTAAAAGCCCTTTGTTGACCATTTATCCTCCTTATACTACAGTGTCTGTATCTGATTGTTTGATACTCACTAGTGTGAAAGGTAAAAAATGCCATTCGTGGCGTTACCATTTATATGCACAGGAGGCCCTTTGTGTGCCATTTTGCCTATTCCATGTCCCCATTTTTTTTTGGTGGTGGAGCCTGGAGGCTGAACCTAAGACTTCACATTTGTCCGGTTATTATTCTCCCACTCCCACCCCGCCCTGTACCACCCCACCCAACCACATCTTTGGCCTTACTCCTGCCGACAATAGCATCTCCTTATCTTTATATAGGATAAGTCTGTTTGGCTTGTGAACGGGATGGCTGCCTTCCCCCATTCCTTCTCATGGGTTTCGAGGGTGGAGTTATTGCTTGTTTTGTCATAAGTATTGTGCTCATGTGTCAAGTTCATCGTCTTACTTCAAGCTGTCTGGGAAGCCGTTAAGTTCATGAGCATAACATTCTCAGTTTATCTTTCAGGCAAACTGTCTGGGCTTCACTCTTCACAGCTGTGGCGTCCTTTTCCTTCCTGGGCTTGGTGTCCTCTCTGCTGTTCCCATCTTTACCTGTTATGATGTTGCATCATTTTGCTTTGGGGGTGCTGCTTGTTCACATCACTCCACAGCCATGGACCCAGTCTTTGTGGATTTGGCTGTGGAGACTACTTTTACTGGTAATTGTGTGGCAGACACATGCTGGTTTTCAATAAACAAACAGTTGGTTTATCTTGGTCTTGCACATTGTAAGTACTCAGGTGAATAAAACTTTTTTTTTTTGAAGTGCTGATTGTCTATTTCTAGAAAGTATAGAAGACATTCCTTCGGCAGTAGAAAACTGAATGGCTGGTGATGGTCACTTCGAGTATTTGTATCTGTGAAAAGATAGAGTCATATTCTTGCCTAAGATAATTTTCAAAAGAGGCAAAAAGTGCCTTTTACATAGGGAGCTTTACAAACCAGAGACCCAAAGCCTCACCAGCACCTTTGTTTCCCTTATACACGTGTCTCTTAATTTGCCCAAGAAATAGAAATCACAATAGAGGCATGGCAGTGATGTTGATCAAGTTTAGATCGTAGCATGGAAAGCAGGGACAAGGTATGGAGGAGGCTGAAAGTGTACTGACAGTGTTCTCTCCCTTTTCCCCCCAGATCTATCTAAAAACAGACTGGTGGAAGTGCCGATGGAGCTGTGCCATTTTGTGTCGCTGGAAATTCTCAACCTGTATCACAACTGCATCAGAGTCATTCCTGAGGCCATTGTTAATCTGCAGATGCTGACCCACCTAAACTTGAGGTAGGTTTAACTAGGAAACCCCTGGTCAATGACCAGCACGAAACCGTTCATGTCTACATTCTGCAAAGATGCATTCATCTTCGCAGTTCTTGATCGCACTTGCAAGTAAACCATGGGGATCATTCAAAATGCTCTTTGTCCTAAATGTCCAGGGCCTTGGTGCTGGCCTTCCCCAGATGTCAGGAGGGCAAGGTTCTAAAAGGGACTGATTTACAGAGCTAGCATCACTGTGTCCTCTCTGATGGTGTATGTAAGGATGCTCTTGAGTGACGGTGTGTGTGAGGACGTGAGGTACAGCTTGCCTTCTTAAATGAAGCCAGTGTTTGCAGAGCATGCCCGAGTCTGTTGGATAACGTGGCGAACAAGTCACTACTACAGATTAGCCGTAGTTTCAAGAAAACTGATTCAAGAAAACTGATTCGTGTAAGTCTTGGTTTCAGTCTTTGCAACTAACTGGCTGCTCTGGTCAGGTTCTGGCTCCCTAAATCCTTATCTCACATTGGGATTTCAGGAGAGAGGCTGCTGCTGTTTTATTCCCTCTGTCTTAATGGAAGCAAGCTCCCAGGTTCCAGAGTCTTTACATGCCGCCAGCATGATGTGTAAAGGGCAGGACCTGATCAGTGAGGCTTGTGTTGCTCAAAACTCCCAGCAAACCAGATACAGCAACCCCTTATAACAGATAATTATATCAGTGGGACGGCATGGGTGTGGTGGCCCGCACCTCTGATCCCAGCACTGAGGAGGCAGGGGCAGTTCTGTGAGTTCAAGGCCAGCCTGGACCTCAGAGTGAGTCCCAGAACAGCTAGGGCTACATAGAGTAACCCTGTCTCCACCTCCCACCCACCCCCCTCACCCACACACAAAAGTTTTTTTGGTTTTGCTTTGTTCTTTTGGTTTTGCTTTTTGTTTTAGTTGGCTCCTGAAAACTTTGGGGCTTTCTGCATCTCCGTGGCCAGAACAACAAAGAGAGCTCCTATCGTGTTTCTAAAAGTGCACTTTTTTACTCAGGGCAAACCCATTCCTAGGTGTATTTGTCATCGACCATAACTTATTAATTTTATTTTTTAAAAAGAAAATGTAGAGATGGTTAGGGTGATCTGCAGGTTCGTCTGTCCGACTTTCAGTTCTGTGGGTTTCTGGTTCATTTGTCCAGTTTTCTTGATGTTTCTGCCACAGAAGGACATGCCTTGCATCCCACACAGCAGTGTCTGTAGATTCTGGTTCCCTGACTTCTCATAAATTGTGATTGTTGCCAAAGCAGATGCAGCTCTTCTGTTTGCTTCCCATTTTTGTCCTGTTATAACTTTTTTTTTATCCGAATAGCATACAATAGGTAAATCAGTGTAACGTACTTCACATTAAGTCCATGAGCATCAAGAATATTGGGGCATAGTTGACTATAAAATCCTAAAACACTTGATGATCTAGTCTTTTATGTTTCTTTAAAAATAGTAATGTTGAATTTGTTCTCATGAGTTCTAGGTTGATCTTAGTTAAGGGTAAATCATTGCTGTACTCAAATGAGCAGAAAGAACAAATGGAGTCTGGACCCTCAGAATTCTTTAAGACAAGGAAAGGGCTGGAGAGATGGCTCTACAGTTAAGATCATACTGGCTGCTCTTCCAAAGGACCAAGGCTCAATTCCTGTCACTCATATAGGGGCTCACAACTGTCTATGACTCCAGATCTGGGGGTCTGATACCCTCTTCTGCTAGACATACCTGCAAACAAAACACCATATACATAAAACTTAAAAAATAAAAAAAAAGAAAGAAAAGTTGTTGGTGATGGACAAAGACTAATGCATTGGGCATTCTGTGGTGAATCCCTACGAAAGGGAAGATGAAAGAGGTGAAGAGATTCATAAATGTGCTTTCTGGCTTGGCATCCCATCTCCCAGTTATATTGGTAAATTTTAAAGTGTGGCTGTTTTTCTTTTTTTCACATTTTCTACTTTGAATATTAACATGGGTGAGGCTTACTTTCTTGCACTGAAAATATGTGTTCTTTGAAGAAACATGCTACAAGGAAAAAATAATTAAGAAAAAGCATGTCTCTTACCACCCAGAAGCTTTATGTGAGGGTGTGTAAAACACACGTGGCTAGCCTTTAAGCTTTTTAAAAAACTAGATACGTTATTAGTGTTATTATATTTTATTTTTATTTTATAGGTATTTATTGTTACTATGCTACATTTTAAGTTTCTTTTATATGGGGAATTGTGTGCACCGTGGCATATGTGTGGAGGTCGGAGGGCAACTTCTAGCAGTCATTTCTCTCCTTTTACTTTGTGGGTCCTGGGGACTGAACTCAGACTCGGTGGTCAGTGCCTTTACCCCGTGAACAGTGGCATCCAGATCCTAACATCCCAGTTTTCTGTGATGAGCTCTTCTGACCAAAAGCGGCTCTGCAGGGAAGGGTTTATTTGCCTTATGGCTAAGAGTCCATCTTGAGGGGCGTCAGGTCTGAAGCCTAAAGACTGAGCTGAAGCAGAGGGCATGGAGGGGTGCTGCTTCCTGACTTGCTTCCCATGTCTTGCTCAGCCTGCTTGCTCATACAACCCAGAACCACTTGCGCAGGGATGGCACCACCCATGGTGGGCTGATCGCTTTCACATCAGTCATTAATCAAGAAAATGCCCCATGGGACTCACCCACAGGCAGTTCCTCAGTAGAGGCTTCCTCTTCCCATGTGACTCTTTATTTATGTTAAATTGACAAGACCTAGGCAGCACAAGTAATCGCTTTTGATCCCTCCTATGGAACTCAGTCCGGATAGGAATGTGTTGAAATGTGATGAAGGCAAGTTTTGATGAAACCAAGAAGGTAGAGTTACATCATGTTTTTCAGTCAGAGACTTTACTCCCTGCTTGATGAATAGATTGCAGAGCCGTATCTGCTAGGAACTCTAGAGCAGCTCTAGGTCCCTCGAGCTTGAGTTGTTTCTAGGCTCTTGGGGATGATTCTGGTGGACTGCGTCACGGCTCTTGCCCGAGAACCTTATTTGTGGCTTTTGAAACAGTAGGTGACCGCCATATCTGTTTACTTGCAAATATGTAACCATGTCTAGGCAATGCTGTTGGCGTCCTCTGCGGTGTTAGTAATATCTTGCTTGTGCTGTCTGCGTGACATCTGCCTGACTTAGAGTGGCCCCCCCCACTCCACCTGGCTGCACACGAGGAACTGGAGAGACTCAGGATAGCATGTTTGGGTGACAGCGTTAACAAATACAAGGGTTCACCTCCTTTATATTAAAATTTAAATATATGTACATTTGTCTATATATGTGGACCAGCTTGGGAGTCCATTTTCTCCTTTTTGACATATGTGTCCTAGGGATTGAATTTAGGTGGTCAGGTTTGGCAAGTAGCAGCACCCTTGAGCCATTTGCCAGCCCTGAGTTTATCTCCTTTTACAAGTTCCTTTTCAGTGGTGCTTAGTGCGTGATGCTTGTCTCTGTCTCTCTCTCCCCCCTCTTTCTCTCTCTCACTCTCTCTTCCTCCCCCTCTCATCCCTCTCCCTCCTTCCCTTCCCCTCCCATTAACTGGAAAGAAAGACTTTTTAGATAAAGTAGTGTAAAGAAACTGCATTCCCATGTCTCATGTTTCTGTACTTAAAATTAAGCCTTCATGTTGTTTTGTTGTTTGTGTTGTTTCATTTTGCTTTGCTTTGCTTTGTTTCTGTGAAGGTGGGGGCCAAACTCAGTGCACTGTACAGGGTTTGTGCTCTGTCATGGAGCCACAGCACCAGACACATTTTTACTGTATTTAATATCTCCTTTTCTTAATAAATTATAAGCCAGAATTGCTAATTTTGTACATCCTAAAATAGAAAAGATCCATATAAAGATACTTTGAATTTATGGGAAATGCTCAAAGTTGATTCCATCCCCATGAGAAACGTTGTATATTCTAACAGTGTAAACAGCCACGAATATTTGAGAATGGCCATGGTGATGGTAATGATGATGATGATGGTGATGATGATGATGAGGGTGGGGGTGGGGAAATGGGGCAGGGATATGTTGCAGCTGCTTAGCCAGGTTTTTGGCTGACATGCTCTCTGCTTCGTGTTATCTTCAATTTTCAAATGGCTGCATCTGTGCCAAGAACCTTCATGCCTTCCAGGAGGCAGGATTAATTCACACATGAAAACATCTTTGCCATGAACTCTGCAGTTAGAAACATGAAACTCTTTTCCACATTTTCTAGGAAACAATATTTGTGGAAATTACTGATTTATTGCTGCTTATGTAGCCTGTGTTTGAAGCATCTAGGCTTTTAATCTTTGCTTCTTGGTGTTCACAACCAAAGGTTATGTTAGTTTAGTGTATGTGCCCTCGTGTCTTCCTGTTAGAAAATATCTTTGTCCAAGGAATGTGGCCAAGAACAATAAAAGTGATTGAGCAAGCCTGTTGCTCTATAGCAGCAAACACTTGGAACTGGAAACACCCAGATGAGCCCAAAATCTATTTTAAATGGTTGGAAAGGTGTCAGTGTACTGTAAGAAACTAGCGTAGCCCAGAGGAACGGAGCACTTGGCAGCAGTGAGTGCTGTGAATCTTAGAATGGAGACCTTGGCATAGGAGGCTCAGCTTGGAGATGTTTGGAGATGGAGCTGTCAAAAACTAAACTTCTTTCTAGCATTTAATCAGACCGCTTCCAGGATGAGGGGGGAGTGGGTTTCCTATTCTCAGAGGAAGCGTGACTGGCCGGGCCTCAGAAACCCTGCGTCCCCCATCTTCTGAGTGAGTTTGGAGCTGTCGCCCTCGAAGAGGGTTGTCTGGTTCACGAAATGTTATCACGCTGTAAAAGGAATGCATGTTGGCTGCCATCTCTGTGGCCTGGTATCCTTTTTGGCTGCTAAACAATGTGCAAAAAGAGCCAACTTCCTGATGGTCATATAACCAGTATCCCCGCATTCTTCTGGGACTCGTTCTCAGAAAGAATCTTTAATTCTCAGAACACTCGCTCTCTTATTTGAGGGACCCTGGGCCAGGGC